TTGAAAAAAATATTAAAACTTAGAATTAAGCTTTGCTTTTTCATATACATGTTTGTTACACATTTAGCAATATATATACCAAAATATTTTTTTGGATACTTAACTCTTTTAGTGAATTTTTGTCAGGGGGGCTGCAAAAGTGCCTTACTTATTTTGGATTATTTAACTTTTTTGGTGAATTTTTGTCAGGAAAGCTATGGACTGCCATAATCATTCAATATGTTGATGTTCTTCTCATAAAAAAAATATTTGGGTTTAGAATTGGGCTTTGCTTTTTTATATACATATTATTTTCACATTTTTTTTTTCATCAATTGTTTCCTCACTTGCTTGGAATTTTCTTTTTATGCCTGTCCTGGCTTTCAGTTTTATAGTTTTCCTCTGCTTGGTTCTTATTTTACCTTTTTTTTTCAGCGTCTTTTTTGTATTTCTGATTAAATTAATTTGTGGGTTCTTTGTTATAGTTTTTAATTTTACATTTTACTCAATTTTTTGTGTCTGGTTTTCTTTTTTGCCGTATCTTTCATAATTCTTTTTTGCAGTATCTTTCATAATGTCTTTGGCATCTTTATTTTTCTCAATAAGAGGCTAATTATTTATTTGTATAATCAATTGTTGATTACTTAATTTGTTATATGATAAAATGTTATATGATACATACAATTTTCTACATTTTTGCACTGTGCAATTTAATATGTTGTTTATATTGAGATCTTTTACATTAAATTTATTTTGACATGTATTTGCTCAACTTGGTTTTTAGTTTAGCTTTTTTTTTTTCAGCGGCTTCTGTATCATGCCTCGCAGAGGCCGTGGAAGACTCGCTTATAGGACTCGCCGCGGTGCCTTACTTATTTTGGAATATTTAACTTTTTTGGTGAATTTTTGTCAGGAAAGCTATGGACTGCCATAATCATTCAATATGTTGATGTTCTTCTCATAAAAAAAATATTTGGGTTTAGAATTGGGCTTTGCTTTTTTATATACATATTATTTGCACATTTTTTTTTCATCAATTGGTGATGGTGATCTACCTACAGACCAACAGGGCCTCATTTCTCTTCCAGAAAGCTGTATCTTTCATGGGGTTGACCTGGTGCAGGAAATATTTGGTTCTTCCTATGGTGATATTACCGCCCTTAGCCAGTCTGTGATTTTAACGCCAAAAAACACAGATTCATTAGAGATTAATGAAAAAGTTTTGGATCGCTTACCAAACAGGAGTCAGTGTTTTCTCAGTGTTGACAGTGTCGAGTGTGAGAATGTGGAGGAACAAAATAACTACCCTACTGAATTCCTTAATAGCCTTACTCCCACAGGAATGCCTCCACACCGGTTAAACCTTAAGATTGGTGCTATTGTTATGCTCCTTAGAAATTTGAATCCTAAGCAGGGTCTCTGCAATGGCACACGTATGGTTATCCAGCGCATGCGCTCTCATGTCCTAGAAGCACAAATACTGACAGGGACCACAGGAATGCCTCCACACCGGTTAAACCTTAAGATTGGTGGCTTTTTCACGTGTGCGAACTTTGAATAGCATACGGGTAAAGTTGAACCCACGTATTTATAAAACTAGAAATATAGTTTTTAATGAGGTCCTTTAAATGAATTTTTCCTTTTTATGTTGTCTTATCTGCTATATAGTTGTGTTGTATTCAATTTTATTTCAGATTTGTTTTCTTTTAATTTTTTTTCATTTCAAATAAATGAATGTATGCCTTTTATGTTGTCTAATTTGGTTTATTGTTGTGTTGTATTTAATTTTCTTTTAAGATTTGTTTTCTTTTACTTTTTGTTTCATTTCCAAAAAATTTGTTTAAAGTTTCACCAATGCCTATAAACAAAAGGTAATAAGACCAAATCCAAATAAATAAATAGTGTGTGACGTTTCGGTAACAGCGTTGTTACCATCTTCAGACAAAAGTACTATGGCCTACGGCCATACCACGTTGAAAACACCGGTTCTCGTCCGATCACTGAAGTTAAGCAACGTCGGGCTCGGTCAGTACTTGGGAGGGTGACCACCTGGGAACACCGGGTGCTGTAGGCTCCTTTTTTCCATTCAGTACTTTTGTCTGAAGATGGTAACAACGCTGTTACCGAAACGTCACACACTATTTATATATTTGGATTTGGTCTTATTACCTTTTGTTTATAATCTACAATCCAAATTGTGCCTCATCAACCAATGCCTATAGTTTCTCACACCTCCCATGCTTACCCCTCTGTAACTGGCCTGTGGTGCAGTGGACATTGTTGGGAGGTACAGTAAACTCTCTACACGATTGTATCAAGTCTTGTTCTGGTAGACTTGATGCTGTAACCAGGAGGGACACTCCCTCTTTAAAAATCCTGAGTTCAACTGACCCAGTTGATGGACCTCAGCAATGGTTCCACTCCAGGGATACGGAGGAGCTGCGTCTGTGCTCATGTTAGAGTCAGAAACAAAGGCTTCCATATTTGGAATGGCCTCAAATCACAGGCAAAGTCAGACTTTCACCAAAGTGTGCCTGGATCATGGTGCCATGATCAACGAAAGCTGCACCCCTATACCCCATTCCATGAGATCATGGAATTCGTGTAATCTTTACACAAGGGGATAAGAAACATCAACAACATAGTTTCTCACCTGAAAGGATTTTTTTGTATTAGTTGTTCACTAATAAAATATTTATAATTAAGTATTTTGATTTTTGGTCTTTATTTACCTATTTTCCCCAGTGCTCTATACATTGATTCAGGATCTATGCAATGTCTCACATATGGTTATCTAGCGCTTCACATGTTTTTAGGCTAAACCCGGGGCGTTGCCGGGTCACTCGGCTAGAAATAATGGCTGTATTTGCTATATAGTTGTGTTGTATTGAATTTTCTTTTAATATTTGTTTTTTTTTTTTTTTTCAATATAATTTTTTAAAGTTTTCACCAATGCCTATAGTTTCTCACCTGAAAGCAATTTTTTGTATTATTTGTTCATTCATAAAATATTTATTATTATTTTGACTTTTGGTCGGTGGAAGGCTGGGTAAACCGTTTGGTTTTCGACCACTAGGACCCGGGTTCGATTCCCGCATTGGGCACTTTTTCTGTTTAAAAAAAAAAAAAATGCTCCAATGGCCCCCGATTCTTGCAAAAGTCCAACCCCACCAGCGAGTGCAAGTAACCGAACGGGGCTCTGGCATTTGTAAGTGCAAAGTCAAACTGCTTTTCACATGTGTAGACATGTGGTGCGCTTACAGTAAAAGCAGTCGCTAACTACCCACCATGATTATCATGGCCTGTACCACGTGTACTAGGGATAAGCAAAAAAAAAAAAACCTATTTTCCCCAGTGCTCTATACATTGATTTAGGATCTTTGCAATGGCACACATATGGTTATCCTGCCCATTCACAGGCCTTTAGGGTAAACCTGGGGCTTTGCCCAGGTCACTCGGCTAGAAATGCAGTTTTTAGTGAGGTCCATTAAATTAAATTATCCCTTTTATGTTATCTTATTTTCTATATTGAAAAGTTAATAAATATGAAAAAAAATTAAAAATGTTTAAGAATATTATTAAAAAAGAATCATAAAGATATTTTAAAGGAGTCCTTTAGGGATGTCTGTTTTTGCACTTATGATTCCAGAGTTACATGGTCCAGTGGGCCGTATGAAAATCGAGTTGTTCATATAATAACATGTTTAAAAAATGATATTTTCTTTTAATGTAATCTATATAGCTTGAAATAAATAAAAATAATGGCTGCTTGAACTCGGTCGCATGTGACATTTTACAGGTACATTGGGACAGCTGACATTCCCCCCCAACCCAACCCACTGATAAATAGGCAAGAAGGTATGTCAGTGTTTTCTCAGTGTTGACAGTGTCGAGTGTGAGAATGTGGAGGAACAAAATAACTACCCTACTGAATTCCTTAATAGCCTTACTCCCACAGGAATGCCTCCACACCGGTTAAACCTTAAGATTGGTGCTATTGTTATGCTCCTTAGAAATTTGAATCCTAAGCAGGGTCTCTGCAATGGCACACGTATGGTTATCCAGCGCATGCGCTCTCATGTCCTAGAAGCACAAATACTGACAGGGACCACAGGAATGCCTCCACACCGGTTAAACCTTAAGATTGGTGGCTTTTTCACGTGTGCGAACTTTGAATAGCATACGGGTAAAGTTGAACCCACGTATTTATAAAACTAGAAATATAGTTTTTAATGAGGTCCTTTAAATGAATTTTTCCTTTTTATGTTGTCTTATCTGCTATATAGTTGTGTTGTATTCAATTTTATTTTCAGATTTGTTTTCTTTTAATTTTTTTTTTCATTTCAAATAAATGAATGTATGCCTTTTATGTTGTCTAATTTGGTTTATTGTTGTGTTGTATTTAATTTTCTTTTAAGATTTGTTTTCTTTTACTTTTTGTTTCATTTCCAAAAAATTTGTTTAAAGTTTCACCGATGCCTATAAACAAAAGGTAATAAGACCAAATCCAAATAAATAAATAGTGTGTGACGTTTCGGTAACAGCGTTGTTACCATCTTCAGACAAAAGTACTATGGCCTACGGCCATACCACGTTGAAAACACCGGTTCTCGTCCGATCACCGAAGTTAAGCAACGTCGGGCTCGGTCAGTACTTGGGAGGGTGACCACCTGGGAACACCGGGTGCTGTAGGCTCCTTTTTTCCATTCAGTACTTTTGTCTGAAGATGGTAACAACGCTGTTACCGAAACGTCACACACTATTTATTTATTTGGATATTTATTTCAAATAAATGAATGTATGCCTTTTATGTTGTCTAATTTGGTATATTGTTGTGTTGTATTTAATTTTCTTTTAAGATTTGTTTTCTTTTACTTTTTGTTTCATTTCCAAAAAATTTGTTTAAAGTTTCACCAATGCCTATAAACAAAAGGTAATAAGACCAAATCCAAATAAATAAATAGTGTGTGACGTTTCGGTAACAGCGTTGTTACCATCTTCAGACAAAAGTACTATGGCCTACGGCCATACCACGTTGAAAACACCGGTTCTCGTCCGATCACCGAAGTTAAGCAACGTTGTTTGTGTTTGTTTTGCATGTATTGAATTAATGATTGCTATACATATATATATATATTCGTGTATTCTTTGATTTGAGTAGTCTGCTCGTTGGCAGCAATAAACGTTTATCGTTCGAATTATCTTCGCCTGTTGCTTGCAAATTCTTACCGTGACAATATATACACACACACAAAAACCTTTATTAAGACACACAGGTCTTACAGAGGATTCTCCCTGGGGTTACAAGACGGAGAAACCCATGAAAGTGGGAAATATTTTATTATATATATAATAGAAACAATATATAAAACGAACTTGATCGTTTTTAACTCAAACTTAAAAAAAAAAAAAACAGTTTTGAAATTCGACTTCCCTTGAGGTCATAAACAATTGCTCCAAGAATCAAAACCCCGATAGTGGATATTGCTGCTGCTGTGATGGAGATGTATGGAGACATCTGAGACTCTACTTTGGACACGACGACAACAACAACATCAAAACCCAACACCCAGTGATCACCGAGTTGAAACCGGGTCATACCGACTAACATAACATTCACATAATAATCTATACCGTCATAGTTCATACAATATAGAATTCCCCTTTTCCGTCAATTTTCTATGAAATCCCACATGTGTATTTGGTAATTTTACCTAGAAAATGTGTTTAAAATATTCATATTGTTGTATATATATATTAATTAATTGTTACCACAGAGTGTGTGTAAGCTCACAGGTAAATAGGCGCTAATCGAAAAGAGAAAAAAGTTCCTTTGTTTTAATATTAGTTTCCCTTTTATATTTTGTTCTCTCTCTTGTAAATCAATAAATATAATGTTTAATTAATAATTATTGGAATCAGTTTCATTAATAATTCTAAGCAAAGTCAACACATTAATATATATAGTCACGACCGTCTGTCTTGGCCTTTGTCACGGATAATATACAGTTATCATCGTCATGCGTTCTTAATTCTGTCACCGTTTGCTTTTGGTTCAGTGGTAGAATGCTCGCCTGCCACGCGGGCGCCCCGGGTTCGATTCCCGGCCGATGCATTTTTTTTTTTTTTACAATTTTTAAAACTCATTTATATATTATACAAGAATGACATCCACGGCGCCAATATATAATTGTAACGAATAGTATTTTAATAAAAGCATTTAATCGGGTAAACCCCGGGCGTTGCCCGGGTCATTCGGCTAGTTATATTATATATAAATTCTCAGAGATAATTTCAGTTGTATATATGTAAAAACACTACCACACCTCTATATATACTGTTGTAATTTGCGAAATTATTTGGCCTGATGATGAGCTAACGCTTGAAAGCTAGCCGTTTTATATTTTATATTGAAGAAACTTTTTGCAATTAATTTGATCGGTATATACCTTTTTTTAATTTATAGATGTGTTTATATATACAACATGACAATCTTGTTATAGGTATTATACAATATAGGGTTGTAGTTTAAATTACCATATATATATATAACATTAAATTGCCATGTACCAAAAAGGAAGCACCTCTCCCTTTAATGATGCAGTAGAATAATGCATTATATACCTATCACCTTTGTTTATCTATATAGATAATACATTAACAGAGATTTCAGTTGTAAAGTTCAAGCTTACTTCTATACATAGCGATCTATATGCCAAAATTTCGTTATTTTTTACTTCATGTCTCACACTTATTTTTATTATCTAAAAATTAGTAGGTATAATTTTCATTTATTGGAGTTACCAATCGTTTAGTTTCAAATTTTCTTTATATATTTATCATCAAAAATTGCTTCTTGTATTTAAAATGAGTGCGTTTTTATTTTTGAATTTTATCGATTTGTATTAGTAGATATTTCATGTTTCTAATTTAATTGTTAATTACTTTTCTCTTCTCTCTCTCTCTCTGCTTATAATAGGAATTTCTTCTCTGTGAATATTTACCTTGGCGATCTACTCTAGATGCCTAGGACCGTGCGTACCTGCCTGAATGTATATACTTTGATTAGAAATTATTTAATAGAGACAATGGAACCTAATGGAGATCGTTTAAACGACTTGAGGAATAAGCAAAAGCAACACAAACAAGAGAATTCTCTATTTATTTATATAAATGAATGTTTGTATGTTTGTTTGCATGTCCGGTATACAAATTCGCAGTAGTTCACTAATTCAAACCAAAATTTCCATACATAGGTAAATAAATACGGGGAAGACGATAGGCTATTTTAAAAAATATATAAAACAATTATTAAAACTATATATTTTTAGTCAGAAAATGATAATGTTCATTAATCATGTTTGATTATCAGATACAAAATTATATCGGGAAAAATTCCAAAAAGCAGACACCACGGGTGAAACCAGTTCATTATTTTGTACGCAGGAACAAAATTCTAACAGAAAAACATTCATTCGAGCAGAAAACAAAAGCCAGATCATCTTTCTATGAAAATATCGCTTCTCAGACACAAAGTTTGGAGCGGGACGTTTCACAAGAGTGACATCCAAGGCGTCAATTTATAATTGTAACGAATAGTATTTGAAAATTAAAATAATATAATTTTCAAATATCGTTGTGAAAATTTACATATTTATTTTTATATTTTAAAAACACACAAAGTTTGAAGCGGGACGTTTCACAAAAGTGACATCCACGGTGCCAATTTATAATTGTAACGAATAGTATTTGAATAAAAACATTTAATCGGGGGTAAAACCCGGCGTTGCCCGGGTCATTCGGCTAGTTATTTATATTTACTTTTACTTGAAATGCTGCTTCTAAGAAATCAGAATATAGCCATTGCAATTTTCAAGCCATCATCTATACTCTTAATGTCTCTTCACGGGCCCTTCAGGTAAACCCAGGGCGTTGCACGGGTCACTCGGCTAGTGATTCCATATAAGAATATTCAGAGCCTAGATTTCTATATTTCTCTTATAACTTTTGAGACACATTCTAATTTCTATCTCTCTCTCTCTTTCACTCTCTTCACTTCTCAGGAGAATATCCTGTATATAAGACTAAGGGTCTTAATAAAGGTTTGATCAATCGTTTGATTTGAATTAGAAATTTATTTTGAATTCCAATCTCTAGTTATCGCTAAATATAAAATGCTTGAGAATCGCTACGCGTCTATAATAATTCCGAATTTTAATAACAGATGACGCTCTAATGCATCATAATATAATTGCTCTAATAAAAGACTCGATTTGATGTTTTCGAAAGAGCGATTGTTCGAAGCATATTATTTATTTATAATTATATACATTTATAATGTGTTTTCTTGAAACGTATACTCATAGTTCATTTAAAATACATTTTTCCAAGAGGTCAGCGTCAGTATCGGCATAAAATTAAAACCGAAAAAGCAATATAACAGCGGTATGGTAGATTAAACTGACGAAACCACTGGGAGGGTTCACCACTGATTAACCAGGCCCTCCCATTAATTTTTCATTGCAGTAAATGCAGGAAAAAAATTGTTCAATTATCAAAAAATAATCATACGCGTCTATAATAGTTTCAAATTTTCAAATTTATTTCAATTTTAAAATACGTTTTCCCAAATAGATTGAACATAGGCTAGCTGCTATTGAATCAGGAATGGCCAATACCTCTGTTTTACCAAGCCAAACGATATTAAAGAGGATGTAAGAATTTTATTGAACATCCAAGGGAACAAAATTTTCTGCATAAATTATTTCTTAACCTAACTAGGAAATTCCAGATTAAATTAAATGGCGGCGAAAAAAGAAACTTCATGAAAGATGGTGAAGATAGCGCCAGGGAGGGATGTGTAAATGTGGAGAAATTTGAGAATTATTTGATTCTCCGTTAGATTAAAGTTTCTAATATTACATGTTCATATTTGAAAAAATATTCTTTCAAATTAATAACTCTAAACTTTTAAAAATATTCTTTCCTACAATTTAATTTTGACAAATCGTTAATAAATTTAGAAAAAAAATTGTTTCCAAAAATGGGTAAACTTTATATAAAGGTTTAAATATAAATTAATGTAAATTTTGCAATTGCGTGTTGTATGAAATTTAGTGAACAAGTGAATACTATTTACAAAATTAAAACCCGAAAAAGAATTATAGAATATAGAGATAATATATTGGAAAATATATTGTAAATATAAATTAAAATATAATCTTTGTTTACTATTATTATCCCTAGTACACGTGATACAGGCCATGAAAATCATGGTGGGTAGAAGTTGGCGACTGTTTTTACTGTAAGTGTATCACATGTCTAAACATGTGAGAAGCTGTTCGAATTTGTACTTATAAATGTGCTAGAACCCCGTTTGGTTTCTCGCTGGTGGGCAATAGAAAATTGATTTATATCAAAAAGAATCATACACGTCAAAAATAGTTCAAATTTCTTAAAACAGTAATTACCGATCGAGCATCATATGTTGACCTTCTAGAATACAATGAAACCTCGTTAAAACGAACCGCGTGTGTTTAAACATTCTCTTATAACGAACCTAAAATAATCCTTATATATTATTAAAATCATATAGTGAACTATGGCTTTAGTGAACAAGTGCCTGAGTCCAAGTGGGGTTTCCTATAACAAGATGTCATTGTAATTATATAATTTTAGAATACATTTGACACGCATACTATTGCCACGTGGAAAATTAGGGAAGACTAACTTTGGGATTAGAAATCAATTTATTTCAGACAAGAACAAACTATGAAGGATTAACAAATAGAATTAGGGAAGTTTACAGAGTAGTAAAATATAAACATAAATGATACTCTGTTAATACTAGTGTAAAATAATAAATGCTTATAAATAATAAATAATATGCTACAATATTATTTTATATTACTTAAAAATAGCATAATTATGTATAACCATACAAATATAAATGAGATTTTTGTAAAAAGGAAAATTAGATTCGAGAGAAGTGTGTTTTTCCTATATCTTTTCAGAAGTTTGATTATGATAATAGAGTTTGCTTGGTCCGCTGAGTTTAGAAATTTGCACAAAAGTTTATTTCCCCTGATGAGATGTAAATATGGCGCCGGAAGGGTTCTATTGTATA